AATAATAATAATAATAATAATAATAATAATAATAATAATAATAATAATAATAATAATTGCTATTCATTGGTCTGCACAAATCTTTTATAGCAAAAATAATAATAATAATATTTTTGTTCACTGAAAGAAAGTAGAAAACTGTGGATGGTTATCAAAAGAAGAGAGCTGATAGGGATAGGGAAAGGGATAGAATGGAATGGAATGGAATGGAATGGAATGGAATGGAATAGAATAGAATAGAATAGAATAGAATAGAATAGAATAGAAATTAGAAATACTGTAGAATAGAATAGAGAATAGGAATAGGATAGAATAGGATAGAGAATAGAATAGAATAGAATTTAGAATTAGAATGGAATAGAATAATGAATAGAGTAGAAATAGGAGTAGGAATAGAATAGAAATAAGAATAGAACAGAACATAATTTAGGATTAGAATAGAACAGAACAGAACACAATACAGTACAATTTAGAATGGAACAGAATAGAATAATGAATAAAATCGAAATAAGAATAGAATAGAATTTAGAATTAGAATAGAACAGAACAGAATGTAATACAATACAATACAATTTAGAATTGAATGGAATGGAATAGAATAATGAATAGAATAAAATAGGAATAGAATGGAAATAGGAATAGAATAGAAATATAGAACAGAATAGAATTTAGAATTCGAATAGAATACAATTCAATACCAGTTAGGATAGAATAGAATATAGAATAGAATAGAATATAGAATAGAATAGAATATAGAATAGAATAGAATAACGGAGTTGGAAGGGACCTTGGAGATCTTCTAGTCCAACCCCCTGCCTAGGCAGGAAACCCCATAAAAAGGTAGCTTGTTAAGTGTCTCTTAGATCAACCTTAGACCCCACCCAGCCCCAGGTGTTCCATTAGCACCACCAACAGGTCCAGGTCGAACTTCTCTTCCAGGTAAACGTCCTTCCTGCTTTCCTCCCTTCCCCAACCCCGCCAGCTCTTGCCACCTTTCGCGCCCCCCACCCTCCCCTTCGTCCCCACCCCAATACCAACTTGTAGAAGGGGGTGGCCACTGTTTGATCGCAGAAGTAGTCGTTGATGTAGGTGGTGAGGAGACGCCGGTCCCAGTCGTCCGTCACGTGGCCCCCATAGTTGACCCCCGCGATCAGGTACTTCAGAGCGTCCCAGGGGGTGTCCTCGTACTCGTCCAGGTACAGGCTCAGGAGATTCTCGGACACCTGGAGGGACAGGTGAGTGTGGATGGGGAGGGGAGCCCCGGTGTGATCTCAGATCCAACCACAGAACGACACCCGAATGGTGTTTTACAATCGTGGCCCCTTGAAGAAATGTGGACTTCAACTCCCAGAATTCCCCGGCCAGCAAAAAGATTTGCCAAGAATTCAGCATGGATAGACCAAAATGGCTGGACTAATTTATCAAAAGACTAGCTCATCAAAAGCTGGGAAGGTAGGCTTGGTGGGGTCTCCGCTCGGGCTTAGGTCGGGGTGGCCTAATCTTAATCCTAATCCTAACTTGATCTGGCTTGGCGGCTTGATAGTCTGACCCTAACGCTAATCCTAACCTGGTCTGGTTTAGTGGCCTGATGGCCTGACCCTGACTCTAATCCCAATCCTAATCCTAATCCTAACCTGGTTTGTCTTGGTGGTCTGAAGGCCTGACTCTGACCCTAATCTTAAATCTAATCCTAACCTGGTCTGGTTTGGTGACTTGATAGTCCGATCCGAACCCCAATCCTAATCCTTAATCCTAATCTGTTCTGGTTTGGTCGGCCTACGATATAGAGTGCTGAAAGCCAGGACAAGTAGATTTAAACATAGCTTTTACCCAAGTGCTGTGATCAGGTTAAATGCAGAGTTACGAATCTGGTGGTCTTAACATATATATATATCCTGGTTGTACAGTTTTTAACTGTTATTTGTTTTAATTTGTTTTACGTTGTTATTTGTATATGTCTTTTGGTGTTGTTCAGTTGTATGTTGTGGAAGAGCACCTTATTTCGTTGTTCTCAGGTTTCTGAGTACAATGACAATAAATTTATCTATCTATCTAATCCTAATCCTAAACTTTTTGTAGCCTGATGCCCTAACTCTAACCACAACTCTGCTCTGTTTGCATGGCCTGATGACCTGACCTTAATCCTAACCCTAACCCGCTCCATCTTGGTGGCCAGATAGCCTGCCCCCAACCCTAATTTTGCGATCCATTGCTGGATCATCTAGGCGTGTGCGCCGAAGGATCGAGAGGGGACGTGGCTGGCAGCAGAGAGATGGATTCTGGGTGTGGGGTCTCCACGGCAGTCAGCTCGCCCTGGCTTCTAAGCCGCACGTGGAGGGAAAAAGAGGCAAGTTGTTGACACCGGTGGCTCCTCTGACAACCTCCCCACAGCCGCATATAGTTCTGCAGATGTGAGGGTCCAGGGAGGGGGAGGTGTTAGAGTGAAGTAGAAGTTCTCCGAGAACGAAGGGGCAAAGGATGAGAAAAGTGTCTCAAAGCCCAGAGGTGAAGAAGAAGTGACTAAGGATAGCTATTACCTAGAATCTCCCAGGCTACACAGCCATGATGGCGAACCTATGGCGCGCATGCCGGAAGTGGCACGCAGAACCATTTCTGCCGGCATGGAAGAGGTTGCCCGGAAGAGCCCCACTGCACATACACGCCCCCCCGCCAGCCAGCCAATTGTTGGGTATCTGTCACACATGCGCGGGGGGAGACAGGCATGTGGGAGATGCGCGTGCAAGCACAAGGGGTGGGGCGTGTGTGTATGTGGGTCATGGGCGCATATGCAGAAATGCGTGGTGCGTGTGCAGGGGGACACCCGTGCGTGCACAGGGGCAAGTGGGGTGTGTGCGTGCACTGCATCACCCCTCCCTTTAAGGCGACCCCCACCTCGAAATCGGAGTCGTTGAAGCCGTAGATGATGTTCCAGCCCAGCTGAAGAAATTTCTTGCGTTCCAGCAGGACGCTGTGGAAGAAGCAGAGGGCAAAGAGCAGCTTCTTGTACTTGTTGGGCTTCGTGCAACGGTTGAACTGGGGGTCCGTGATCAGCTGGTACAACCGCTTCATGTTTGCCTTCAAGCCCTGCAGGGAACAAGCCAGGAAAGGCTGTTTGGGAAGGCTGGTAAGCGACGTTCTAGGCTCTTCAAGGACCGAGGGTTTGGATGGACAAAGAGCCGGTTGGCAGGGGGTGGTATGCTGACGGTTCGCAGCGGTTTGAGCGATCCGGTAGCGCCGCTCACCAGTTGGCCCTTCACTGTCCTATACTTCCTTTGTTTGCAGCTCAGCTGATAGGCGCGGCGGAGTGGATTGCCGTGCCTCGGCTGCACTTTACTCACCGGTGCTGATGTTAAACGGGCCCCCACAGAACTGGTAGTGAAATATTTTGAATTCCACGGCTGGCTGTTGGGCTTGGTGACCCCAAACTTGTGGGCTTCAACTAAGGGGGTGGGATTCTAGCCATTCGGAACCGGTTCGACAGAGCCGGTTGTTACGATTCTACGCAGTCTGGAGAACCGGCAAATCGCGCCACTGGTTGGCCCCGCCCCTCCCCGTCCGCCCCTCCCCTCCCCACCCAGTTCGTCCTTATCACGCATGCACGTTGCTGACTGTGTTCCTTATCTGCCCAGTCAACGAGGTATTTCTGTTTTGCTCCCTCCCTATGATCAGCTGAGCCGGGATTTCCCTCGCGGTCTCACTGCTTCGCCCAGGAAGCTGCCCTGAGGCCCAGAAGGCTCCAAAATGGGTTCCATTTTTTGCCTTCCGGGGTCCCACCCCCCAAGAGGCTTCCCTTGGCCCCAAAAAACAGGGAGGGGTTTGTTTTTTTTGGATGCAAACAAAGAAGCCACACCCACCCAGTCATATGACCATACCCACCGAGCCACGCCCACAGAACCGGTTGTTAAAAAATTTGGATCCCACTTCTGACTTCAACTCCCCAAAATTCCCCCCGCCAGAGAAGTATTGGTGGTTATGCTACTGGTTCGGACCAGTTCGGCTGAACTGGTAGTTTAAAAAAAGCCGAGGAGGAAGAGGAGGAGGAAAAAAAAAACCCAGCTGAGAGGAAAACAAAGAGAAAAGCGCAGGATCGGCCCTCCCACCGGCCCCCCCTCTCCTCTCAGCTGATTGGCGCTGCAGGCCTCAGCGGGGGTGCAGAAAGCGGAAAGCCACGCCCACCGAACCGGTGATAAGACAACTTGGATCCCACCGTTGCAGCAAAGATTTGCTAGAATTCACCGTGGGTAGGCCAAAAAGCTCCTAAAATATTTCCTCTGGTCTCTTCAGAGTCGCCAACAGAAAGGTAGCGGGGGATTCAGTGCGGCGGCTTGGAAATCGCAAGCGCATTCCCTAAATAGTTTTTTTGAGATAGTAACCGCCGTGCAAAATCCGATGGTCACCCTTGACCCTGGTTTCCCCACCCCCCACCCCCTGGGTGCATCATAATTCATATCCTCCAATGGGACACATCCATAGCCCAGAGTCATCGACCACCTTCTCTAGCTAGAATTTTTCACGGCAGAAACTTCAGTCACCTCAGTTGCTGGCTCTTTGAAAAACTACTGACGGAATGCGCTTTCGGTTTCCCAGCTGCCGCGCTGCTCTTTCAAACCCCTCTCCTCCCCCCTCCCTTTCTGTTGGCAGCTCTAAAAAGACCGTAGGAATATTTTATGAGTTGACACAAAGGTGGCTAGACTACTTCATTCCTTTTTTCCTGTTTTTTTGGGGGGGAGGGATAGGGTAACTTCCTTGATAGATGGTGGGAATGTGACAGATGTAATTTATCTTGACTTCAGCAAAAAAACAACAACCCAACAGCCGGGCGGGGAATTCTGGGAGTTGAAGTTCACACAAGCCTTAAAAGTTGCCAAGGTTGGATCCTCTTGGTTGTCTCCTCCTCTTCTCCTCTATAGAAAACTCACCTTGTTTGAACTTTTCTACCAAGCGTTGGAAACTGACCGGTTAAACTGGAGGGTGTCAGATTTAATTTCACTGAGGGCTGCATCGGGGCTTTGTTTGACCTTTGTTTGATGGCCAGTGGTGGGCTTCAAAGAATTTAACAACCGGTTCTCTGTCCAGCTGCTGGGCGGGTGTGGTCATGGTGGGCATCGCCTAGTCCGCCTCCTGCACCACGAGCCGGTTGTCGGAACTACTAGTTCACTGAACCGGGCGCAAAATTAACATCCGGTTCGGCCAAACCGGTGCGAACCGGCTAAAGCCCATCCTTGGGCGTGGCCGAGGCCGGCTGGGTGGGTACGGCTAGCTCGACGCCACTCCCCAAACTGCTGGCACGTTTCCCCCTTCGCACTGGGTAGACCGGGCCGAAGCCACGTGGGGGCCGGCTCCTTACGTTTTCCCGGATCTTGACCGCATCATGGCCCCTGGCTTAAGACCGAGAGAGGATAAAACCACGGGCACATTTGAGGGCTTAGCCTGGGGGAAGCCTGGCCTCTCCTCTGGGGGGGGCGGGGGTCCTCCGCTCTTACCGTGGGGGGCTCCGTTGTCATCTTGATGCCCGCCTGCAGGATAGAGATGGGGAATTCGGGGTGGGGGCTGGAGCTCAGCCACAGGCGGAAGGAAGGGTGCGGCTCTTCAACCTGCAGCTGTTCCACCAGTTTGTCCAGCTGCGGCATCCAGGACAGAGACAGGTGGCAGTTGGCTAGGAAAACCCAGTTGCCTGTGGAAGGGGGAAGGTCCAAGGAAGACTCACCGAGGCTTCCGGATTGAGGGGTGAAGACGAAGGTGCCCGTCCCGGTTAAGGGGAGTGGGAAGGGCTGGGCACTCACCCTGGTGGACTCCGTCCTTAATCATACGCGTGGCGATGGGTGCCTGGCCCTGGCCCAAGGACAGGGCGTGGAAATGCTGCGCCATGCCCGACTGCTCGGCCAGCTGAAGCAAAGAAGAGGTGGGGTCGACACCCGGAGAGAGGACGAAGATCAGGGGGGTCTTTGTGGTGGAGTCGTCCACCACCTGCAAGCAGAAACCAGGGAAGGATCAGATTAACGCGGGGCAGGGGTCTTCCAAACTTTCAAACTAAGAATGCATGAAGGTAAATCTGATATAGTTGGAATAACAGAAACTTGGTGGGATGAAACCCGTGACTGGAACATACTGGTAGAAGGATACAAACCATTCAGAAAAACCAGACCCCATAAAAGAGGAGGTGGAGTTGCACTGTATGTAAAGGACCACTATATTGCTACTTAAATGCATGAAACCAAAGATGAAAACCTCCTAGAATGCATATGGGTCAATATAAAAGAAAAAGAGAATGACATGACCATAGGTGTATATTATAGGCCATAGGTGTATATTATAGGCCACCCAATCAAGCAGAAAAAATAGATATCCTTTTTGCCAGCCAACTAACAAACATATGCACGAAACACACTACAGTACTAATGGGAGACTTCAATTATCCTGATATCAATTGGAAAACTAATTCTGCACCAAGTGAGAAATCAAATAAGTTCCTAACCAACCTAGCTGACAACTTTGTTGTCCAAAAGGTAGAAGGTGAAACTAGAAGGACAGCCATACTGGACTTAATTCTTACAAACAGAGAAGAAGTGATAGAGGGAGTTGAAACTGCAGGAACCTTGGGTGAGGGTGACCATGTCATACTAGAATTCAGCATAACACAAACACAAGCAATAGAACATAATGACACCAGAGCCTTGGATTTTAAAAGAGCTGATTTCAATAAACTCAGAGAGAACTTGGGAAAGATCCCATGGATGAAAATCCTAAAGGGGAAAACAACTCAAGAATCTTGGGAAACTCTAAAAAGTATGATCATAGAAGCCCAGACCAGCACAATACCACTGAGAAAGAAAAACAAGAAATCCAGGAAGAAACCAGCATGGCTACACAAAGATCTCTCTGGCAAATTGAAAGAAAAAAAGGACAAGTACAAAAAATGGAAAGAAGGACGTACAACTAAGGCAGAATATCAGCAGATAGCCAGAATCTGCAAAGACGAAGTCAGGATAGCAAAGGCTCAGAACGAACAAAGACTTGCAACAAAACTCAAAGATAATAAAAAAACGTTTCTTCCAATATACAGTATAAATAACAAGAAAATATCAAGGAAACAGTCAGTCCACTAAAGAGAGAAGACGGCAAGGAAGTAACAGGCAACAAAGAGAAAGCAGAACTGCTTAACTCATTCTTTGCATCGGTCTTCACGCAAAAAGAAACTATAGCTCAACCCACCAAAAACATAGCTGTAAAAGACAGACCAGAAATAAAAGCTAAAATAAGCAAATAAATAGTAAGAGAACACCTGTCTGATCTTGATGAAAACAAATCACCGGGGCCTGATGGATCACATCCCAGAGTTTTAAAGGAGCTGGCAGAGGTCATCTCAGATCCACTGCACCATATCTTTAAAAAATCCTGGAGCACCAGGGAGCTACCAGAGGACTGGAAAAGAGCTGATGTGGTTCCCATCTTTAAAAAAGGAAAAAAAACAGACCCAGGAAACTATGGACCAATCAGCCTAACATCAATACCCGGGAAGATACTGGAAAAGATAATACAAAAAACAGATCTGCCAACATCTAGAAACAAGTAAAGTAACAACTAGCAGTCAGTACGGGTTTGTTAAGAACAGATCATGCCAAACCAATCTCATTTCATTCTTCAACACAGTGACTAAATTAGTAGACCAGCAACATACTGTGGACATAATATATTTAGATTTCAGCAAGGCATTCGACAAAGTAGACCACAGCCTACTTCTTAGTAAGCTAGAAAAAATGTGGAAGAGATAGCACCACCACTAGATGGACTCGCAACTGGCTGGCAAACCGTACTCAACGAGTAGTCCTTCATGGGTCTAAGTCTACACGGAGGGAAGGAAGCAGTGGGGTGCCACAAGGTTCCCTCTTAGGCCCAGGACTCTTCCATATCTTCATTAACGACTTAGAGGAGGGAATAGAAGGGGAACTTAGCAAATTTGCAGATGATGCTAAGCTGGCAGGAATAGCCAACACCCAAGAAGACAGGCTCAAGATCCAGAGGGATCTTGACAGACTACAACACTGGGCTGTATCTAATAAAATGAAATTCAATGTAGAGAAAAGGAAAATCCTACATTTAGGCAAGAAAAGCCAAAAGGACCCATATGGACTGGGTGAAACCAGGCTCAATAGCAGTAGCTGTGAGAGAGATCTTGGAGTCTCAGTGGACAACCAGCTAAATAGGAGCCAGCCGTGTGCAGCAGCAGCAGCCAAAAAAGTCAGTGCAATCCTAAATTACATTAACAGAGGGATATAATCAAGATCAAGTGAGGTACTAATACTATTCTATAAAGCCTTAGTAAGGCCACACCTAGAGTCCTGCATCCAGTTTTGCTCACCACACTATAAAAAAGATGTTGAGACTCTAGAAAAAGTGCAGAGAAGATCAACCAGGATGATGAGGGGACTGGAGACTAAAACATACAATGAACGGTTGCAGGAACTGGGCCTGGCTAGTCTAGGGAAGAGAAGGACCAGGGGAGACAGGAGATACTTGAGGGGCTGCCCCAGAGAGGAGGAAGAGGGTCAAGCTATTTTCTGAGACACCCAAAGGCCAGACAAGGAACAATGGATGGAAACTGATCCAGAAGAGATTCAACCTGGAAATAAGGAGAAACTTTCTGACAGGGAGAAGCATCAACCCATGGAACAGAAGTTGCCCTCGGAAGTTGTGGGAGCTTCATCCCTGGAGGCTTTCAAGAAGAGACTGGACTACCATCTTGTCAGAAATGGTGTAGGGTCTCCCGCTTGGGAGGGGGGTTGGACTAGATGACCTACAAGTTCCCTTCCAACTCTGATTGTCTGTTATCTGTTAAACTTGGCAAGTTTAAGACTGGTGGACTTCAACTCCCAGAATCCCTGAGCTAACATGACTGGAGGAGGAATTCTGGGAGTTGAAGTCCACCAGTCTTCAAGCTGTCAAGTTGGAAGACCCCTGACGTAGATTAGTAGAGTTGGAAGGGACCTTGTAGGTCATCTAGTCCAACCCCCCTGTCCAGGCAGGAGACCCTACACCATCTCCGACAAACGACAGTTCAACCTCCCCTTGAAAGCCTCCAGTGACAAAGCTCCCACAACTTCCGAAGGCAACTTGGTGGGGGCTGCCCCAAAGAGGAAGGGGTCCACCCGTTGTCCAAAGCCCCAGAAGGCAGGACAAGAAGCAACAGGTGTCAACTAACCAAGGAGAGAAGCAACCTGGAACTAAGGAGGAGTGTCCTGATACTGCGAGGACAATTAGCCAGTGGAACGGCTTGCCACCAGGAGTTGTGAATGCTCCAATACTGGAGGTTTTGAAGAAGAGACTGGGCAGCCATTTTGTCTGAAATGCTATAGGGTCTCCTGCCTGGACAGGGGGTTGGACTAGAAGACCTCCAAGGCCCCTTATTCTCAACCCCACCTATTCTCCGCCTCCCATCGAGTCCCAGCTGATGGGCAGGGCCTCCTTTGGTTGCCCTGCAGAGGAGAACGGAGCTGGAAGGCAGGTTAGAGGGAGCGAGGAGGGAAGCGGGATTTTGCAGTATATCTTTCCCCTGCCACGCCCACCCAGCCACGCCCACTGGGCCCCTCACTCACCGACTTCATGTTCAGCACGGGGGGCTCGATGAACTGGGAGCCCAGATTGGAGACGATGAAGGCTGTGACGCAGAAGGCCACCCGGTCCGGCCGCAGAGACCGGACGACCAACATCCGTTGCATTTGGTTGCAGGAGTTCTCCCACTCGCCTGGAACACAGGTGGGGGGTGTGGGGGGTGTGGGGGAGGAGAAGGGGCAGGAGGAGGGCTTAGCGGGGGCTGGAAGAGAGAGAGAGAGAGCCGGTCCCCGCCCCTCCATCCCGCCAGAGGGTCTTCAGGAGTCCATGTTGGTCTCCGAGCTTGATTGTTATCGGGCGGACGTCTCATGACCCAACTAGGTAACATGATCAGTGCTACGAGTAATTGCAGTTTGTGAGAAGGAGGAGGAGGAGGAAGAAGGACAGAAGAGGAAAGGAGGAAGACCATTTTGCAGAGGAGGAGGAGGAGGAAGAAGAAGACTGTGGGGTCTTAGGTGCTCTCTGAGCTTGGTTTTCTTGCAGACGTCTCATGACCCAACTAGGTAACATCATCAGTGCTACGAGTAATTGCGGTTTGTGAGAAGGAGGAGGAGGAGGAGGAAGAAGGACAGAAGAGGAAAGGGGAAGAGGAGGAAGACCATGCAGTTTGCAGAGGAGGAGGAGGAGGAGGAAGAAGAAGACTGTGGGGTCTTAGGCGCTCTCTGAGCTTGGTTCTTTTCCTTGCAGACATCTCATGACCCAACTAGCTAACGTGATCAGTGCTACAAGGGAGTGGGGGTTTGCAGAGAGGAGGAGGAGGAGGGCGACTGTGGGGTCCTGGCTGCTCCCTCAACTTGACTGTTTCCTCGCAGACGTTTCGCGACCCAGCTAGGTAACGTCATCGGCACTAATGGGGAACCGGAGAGGGGGAGAATTCGGCACGGGGGCCCACACCTGGCAGCATGGCCTTCTCCGGCTTGGAGCTGGTGTACCAAAGGTTCCAGTCCCTGGGATACTGTTCGAAGGAGTTCATGATGCCGTGAAAATTGGTCAGCTTGTCCAGTTCCGTGATGTTGTCCCAGTAGATGTCGGAGAGCCAGCTGGTGCACGGATTGTCCATCTGCCCTTCCCGGTCCAGCACCTGCCGGAGGGACATGGAAGGGGTTGATTTCCCACGAGAGAGTCCTGAACTCGTGACCCACCCACCCCCGCATGGAGCGTGTTTCTGTTCTTAAGCAAGACCGTTGTTAAGTGAGTCTTGCCCCCAATTCACGACCTGTTCGGTGACACGAGCCGGCTGGGTGGCTTTGGGCCAAGGACCAGGAGATTGGGAGTTCTAGTCTCACCTTAAGCATGAAAGCCGGTTGTGTTGTTTTCGGCCAATCGCCAGGAGACGGCGAGTTCTAGTCCCGTCTTAATGCATGAAAAGTAGACAGGTGACTTTGGGCCAATCGCCAGGAGACGGCGAGTTCTAGTCCCGTCTTAATGCATGAAAAGTAGACAGGTGACTTTGGGCCAATCGCCAGGAGACGGCGAGTTCTAGTCCTGCCTTGGGCATGAAACCCAACTGGGTGACTTTGGGGCCAGTCTCTCTCTCTCTCTCTCTCTCTCTCAGCCCAACCCACCTCGCAGGGTTGTTGTTTTGGGGGACAATAGGAGGGGAGGGAGAACGGAGCCTCAGGTAGGTTCGCCTGTTTGAATCACTTACAAAGCAACCAAGGCGGGATAAAAATTAAATTAAGCAACAAGTAAAAGCCAGGACCCGTCCCCCGCCCCGCCCCGCCCCGCCCACCCCGGCACTAACCACTCCGCCCCGCAGGAAGAAATTGTATTCGTCCATCTTGAGAGTGCCGGACATTTCCAGGATCTTGGCACACATCTGGAAGCTGAAGAGCAGCTTGTGTCGCTCAAAGAGGCCGCGGCAGGTGTACCTGTGCAAAGGAGACACACCCAGGTGAGCCATTCTTGTCTGACCCCTCCCTCTCCTTGCCCTACCACGAGGACTCCAATGCCCATCAGCCTGCTCCCCCCCCGCGAGGAAAAGAGGCAGCGCGTCCCCGCAAAGCTCCGACTCGCAGCTGTAGAACGCCTCAGCTGCCAGCTTTTAGCCTGCACAGCCAGTCCTCGACTTATGAACGGTCGCTCCAAGTTACGACCGGCCCAAAACGAGGACAGTTTACAGCAGTTTGCAGCATCCTGAGGTCATTGCAATGGCCTTTTTTTTTTTGGCTGAAAACTTGGCATTTTTTTCTCTATTTTTCAGCCAGAGCTGCGCCCGTAGCGGCCCACCAGCTCGTTTAACAACCACGGTGTTCAACGACCATCGTAAAACGGGGATAGAGTTTGCAGGGCGTGCGTGGAAGAGCTCTAATTCCAAGGAAAGAGAAGGCGTGACGTGGGCCGTTGTTCCGAAACGTTTTACCAGAAAGGTTTTAGTTTTTTTTACGACCGTTATGACTTAATGACCACAATGGGCAGGCTACATTCCAGAAGTCGTCCTCAACATGTGACCACAATGGAGGCCAACGTTTAATGTTGCTAAGGGAGACGCTTGTTAAGCGAGCTTTGCCCTATTTCGCGACCTTCCTTGCCTCCATCGTGAAGCGAATCGCTGCACAGTTGATCACTTACCAGCCCGGTGGCTTGCCGGCCAGAAGGTCGCAAAATGGAGACGGGTTGACTTATGACCGCCCTAACTACGAGTCGGTCGCCTGAATTTTGACCACGTGGCCCTGGGGATGCCGCCCAAGTCGTAAACGGTGAAAAGGGTCGTTAAGTCCCTCTTTTTCTTCCCCAGCCGCCGTCGTAATTTCAAGCGGTCACTAAGTGAGCTGTCCCTTTCCCCCCCCCTCTTTTTTTTTTCCCAGCGGGGAGCAGCGGAAGGGCGGCTCGGGTGGCTGACCTGTAGACAGCATAGGTGTGGTACTCGTTGAGGTGTCGGATTCGTTCGTCCAGCTTGTGGCTGCGATGGCTCTTGTGGATGCTGAGGTTGAAGAGGTCGATGTAGGCATCTAGGGAGAACTGGTACATGGGGTCGATGCGCCCCATGTCGTTCAGCACGAAGAAGAGGATGGAGGCTCTCTGGGCACAAGGCCGGTAGGCCTAGAGGGAACAGCGCAGTGGGGCCAATTATGGGGAACAGGCCCAGTGTCAGGATTCCGGCAATCACCCTCGATTAAATCGTAAGTCTCGAGCCAAACTTCCAAAAGGGATTTATTCGGAATTAAACATGTCCGGCACCGCCTGGATGTAGCTGACTCTGAGACCCATCATTCATTGTCACCCTTGACCCTGGTTTCCCTCCCTCTCACCCCCTGGGTGAATCGTAATTCATATTCTCCAATGGGACACCTCCATAGCCCAGAGTCATCGACCACGTTCTCCAGTTAGAATTGTGCGTGGCAGAAACTTCAGCCACCTAGTTACTATCTTTGAAAAGCTATTGATGGAATGCGCTTTCGGTTTCCCAGCTGCCGCGCTGCTCTTTCAAACCCGTTTCTCCCCCCCTCCCTTTCTGTTGGCAACTCTGAAGAGACCGTAGGAATGTTTTATGGAGCTGACACCCAGCTGTTCTTCAGGGAGAGGCCCGTATCCCCTACCCCCAGCCTCAGAAAGGACATCCTGTAGACCGGGGGTGGGTGGGGGGGGGGGCGTGTTGGGGGGTGGTCTCCAAACTCAGCCAAGACATGTGGACACCAACTCCCAGAATTCCCCAGCCACCGTTTCCCAGAATTTAGCATGGAAAGGACAACAATGAATGTGGCTGGGCTACCTTTGTTGCATTTTTGGGAGGGGATAGTATAGGTTTAATAGACGGTGGGTGTGCGAGAAACGTAATATATCTTGACTTCAGCAAAGTTGGGAAATTGCTGGCTGATCAATTTAAGGCCCGCGGACTTCCAGAATTCTCTGGCACCCATGCATTTCGTTTGATGTGCATATCCACCGATGTGCTTATTCTCTTATAATCCCTTCCTCTGCAATCTCTCCGCTATAGGCAGTAGGAGTGGGGGGGGGGGGGAAGGCATGGCTGGCTGGGGAATTCTGGGAGTTGAAGTCCATAAATCTTACAGTGTCCAAGTTTGTTTTCGAGCAACGGGTGTCAAACTCAAAAAGCGTCACGTTGCCGTTGCGTGACTTTTTTTTCCTTTGCAGGGCTGGAGCGGGCGTGGCCCGCGGGCCACTGGTTCGATACCCCTGTTTTAGAGTGAGATTTTCCAACCTTGGACACTTTCAAGACACGTGGACTTCAACTCCCAGAATTCCCTGGCGCTCACGCATTCCTTCTGACATGCACACTCACGGATGAGCTTATTCTCTTATCATCCCTTCCTTTGCATTCTCTCCGCTATAGAAGGGGTGGGGGGGGGAAGCCACGGCTGACTGGGGAATTCTGGGAGTTGAAGTCCACCCATCTTTAAAGGGTTAGACGGAAGAACCCCGGCAACGGGGTTACTTGCCTCCCGGGCAGTGTCAATCTTGATCTCGGTCATCTCGCTGGTCTCCAGCTGCTCCGTGACTTCTGTGGCGGTCACTTTGGAGGTCTGCAAGGTGTTCACCAGCTGCACATCGTCCAGCAGGGAGCCGGTGGCTTCGTTCAGCAACCTGTGGGCGGGACGACAGAGGACTGAGCGACTCCTGATCCGAGAGCACGGAGAGTGGAAAGAAGTCGAGAACGGAGCAGAATGACCCGGCTACTCGGGAGGGGAGCGCCCCGCCCCTCTCCGCAAGGCACACCCGGGGGGGACTGAGACATAAGGAGAGGCACTCACAATGTTGGCCTGGACTATTTGCAGCCGGAGGCTGCCGGAAGTGTGTGTGTGTGTGTGTGTGTGTGTGTGTGCACGCGTGTGTGTGACCTGGGACTTGCCAGAAACAATGGTGCATTGGGAGAAATTTGGAGCAATAAAGGGGCGGTTCGAACTGCCAGCTGCCTGGGCTGCCTCTGTGCCGCGCACACGTAAGTTGTGAGTTCCAGTCTCCAAAAAAATCCCACCTGAGGATCTCATCTTCCAGCTCCTTCAGCTTCCTCTTGCCAGCTGCAATGTTGAGCACCAGGGAGTCCTTCTGTTCCTCCAGTTCGGGCCGCTCCTTCCGGACCACGATGCCCAGCAGCTGGGCCTCCAGGCCCTGAAAGCAAGAGGGCACCCGGGGTGGGATTCTACCAGTTCGCACCTATTCGCTAGAACCGGTTGTTAACAATCTAAGCAGTTCAGAGAACCAGTTGTTAGGAGAAATTACAGGGCTAGTCCTGTAAGGGAGGCAGGAAGGAAACATTCTGGTGTTGCTGACAGAAACTGCCTCTCCAGTAACCCTTATTACATTCTTGGCAGGACGAGACTTCCTGTCTCAGAAATGTCTCTGGAGTTTTTTCCCCCCTCCTTTACTGGTACTTTGCTTGTGTGGAGTGACCAAGGTTACAGTGGCACTGAAAAAAGTGACTTATGACCATTTTTCACACTTACAACAGTTGCAGCATCCCCAGTCATGAGAGGCCAGGCGAGAAGATGCGTGCCTCGATGTGAGTGATATTGAGTTGGCCACACCCAGACAACAACATGACCACCAAGCCATGCCCACCCAGTCACACGACCACCAAGCCACGCCCACAGAAACAGTTGTTAAAATTTTTGAATCCCACCCCTGGAGGGCACCCAGTGGGTCCTGCACCTATCGCCCACCCCCTCTAGCCCCGGGGCAGGTAAAGTAGAGGTTCCGCCCACGGAGCCGTCCACGGGACACCTGGGCGAAGTGCCTACCTGCTCCTTGACGGCAAAGTTGACGATGGTGGTCTGTGAGGAAGTCTCAGGCGTGTAGTGAGGGTTGGGGAGCTTGGTGGTAATGTAGAATCGGAAATCGGGGTGGTAGTCCACCTCCTTGTCCCCCAGCCGGATCAGCATGCGCCCACCTGCCGGACACAGGTTGGGTTGGAGGCTGGTCATGGGAGCGCCAGGGGAAACATTCTGACCCAGGCTTCCCCAAGAGCACGAAGCCGACTCCTCGTCCCGATAAAATCCCTTTTATTGAGCGTACAGTGAATTCCCCTCCAGCAAAGTCCTGGCAAACCGTCTTTCAAGATATTGCACAATTACAGACCTTTGTCAGGCATGGAGAGTTGCCAGGCCGATATCTTCTAAACGCCAGCTGTAGCAGATAATACTTGGCAAGAATGCAGGAACTTCACCCAACTGAATTGAACTAAGAGTCTCCTGCAAACCCCACTCCCCTTTCGCTCCTCTTTATTCCCTCTGGGAGGAGCCATTCACCATCCACCTGTGGCTTTGTTTCCAAGTCGACCCTTGCTCCTCAGCTGTTCCCTTCTCCTGGCAGCTCTGTGCATGTGCACACTGGGAACAGGCTCCAGCTGTTCTTCTTCCTCACTGATCTCCGACTCTGAAGGCAGCTGATAACTGTCGGACGGCCCCGGCCCCATCTCTGCCTCCGACACAGAGTCCTCGTCCGAACCTTCCCCAGAGTCCAGGACTGGCCCAGGTTCCTCCCCAATCTCCTCACTGTCCGAGTCTACCGCCAGTTCCGCTGGGGGGCCACAACAGGGAACTCCTCCCCTCCTCGCTCCCCCCCGCCCTGTTCCAAAGGGCACCCCGTCACTCACCCACTTTGGTGACCGACTTGTTCAGGATGGGGGCGAGGGTGGGGTCCAGCTCCTCCTGCACGTTCTGCAGCAGCACTGGAGCGCCAACCTGGATGGCCGTCTCCAGGATGCGCAAGTAGTCGGGCATCTGCAGGTCAATGATCTTCAAACCCTGTTGGGGCGGGGGGGGGGGAAAGGAAAGGGTCCCTGAGCCCGGGGATATCTGGGGCCCATCGCTCGCTGCCCCGTCCGCCACAAAGTGTTGGTGAGGGAACAGGAGGCTCCAGGGATCCATGTGGGGCACTCACAGGGAGGAAAGAAGGAAGGAAGGAAGGAAGGAAGGGAAGAGGGGGAGGAAGAGCATGAAGTGAGAAGGGAGGGAAGAAAAGAAGGAAGGGAAGAAAGGAAAGGAGGGAGGAATAGCATGAGAATGGGGAGGGAGGGAGGAAAGAAGGAAGGAAGGAAAAATAAAGGGAAGGAGGGAGGGAGGAAAGGGAAGAGAGGGGAAGGAGAGCATAAGAATGAGAAGGGATGGAGAGATGGAAGGATGGAAGGAGGGAGGGAGGAAGGAAATGGGAAAGAGAAGGAAAGGAAGGGAGGAATGAAGGGAGGGAGGGAGGAGACAGGGTTGAGAAGGAAGAAAGGAAAAGATAGAGAGAGGGAAGAAAAATGAAGGAAGGAAGGAAGGAAGGAGAATGAGGAGGGAAGGAAGGAAAGAAAAGGAAGGGAGGAAAGGGAAGAGAGGGAAGGAGGAAGGGAGGAACAGCATGAGGAATGAAGGGACGGAGGAAGGAAGGAGATGAGAATGAGGAATGAAAGAATGAAGGAAGGGTTGGAGAGACGGAAGGACGGAAAGAGGGTGACAGGAAGGAAGGAAACGGGAAAGAGAAGGAAAGGAGGAAGGAAGGAGACAGGATTGAGAAGGAAGAAGTGAAAGAAGAGAGGTAGGGAGGAGATGGAAAATGAGAAGGAAGGAAGGAAGGAAGGAAGGAAGGAAGGAAGGGAGGGAGGGAGGGAGGGAGGGAGGGGCAGGGGGGAGGGACGAAGGGGGCTTCTCACCTTCTTGGCTTCCATGTTCTTGATCCACTTGGTGGCCTGGCATTGAGGGTCGATCATCAGAGGCCACCTAAGGAAACCCAGAGGGCCACCTTAGAACCTCTTCGATTCCTTGGTGAGGAAGGGTCTCCTTCCAAGCCCCACCAGGCAGGCAGGCAGGCAGGCTGGCCAGCCCAGAAGGACCCGGGCCTCACCGGTTCCCACGCGTGACGATAATCCCGTTTTCGGTGGAGAAGTCGTCGGAGGGCAGTCCCTGGATGTTCCAGGTGCGCACCATGGTTGGGTTGGACAGGAAGCTGTCGCAGGTGAACATGGGCGAGCAGGGCACATGAAGCTGCCGGATCTGTGGGAGGAAAGCCGTGAGGAACCGAAAAGGACCGGCAGCACCAGTCCCCGGCCATCTTTCGTCCTGGGTAGAGGCAGTAGTTGCTGAACAGAACTCCATACCGGTGACAGGAAAGGCCTCCGGCCAGTAAAAAGCTCCGCTAGCTCCATTCCGTTGCCCAGACTCCACCCCGCAAGGGGTTACCGGGATGTTCAATGGTGATGATCTTGGAATCAAGGCGACCTCCCTTGAGCCCCCGGAAGCGTCTCCCAGATCCATCACCTGAGGGTGGTCCTCACCAAGGCAGAAAGGACGGGGCGCGGATCTGGCTCTCAAAACCCCACCGGAGGAGGACGAGGATGAGGACGAGGAGGACGAGGACAGGGCCTGGTGTCACCAGCAAGAGGAGCTTCTCCAACCAAGGGGAGGACAACCTAGGCAAGGCCAACTCTGGGGAAGACCAGGAGGGTCTCACCTGCTTCATCCAGATGTGGGAGACCATCTCGTCCCGGTAACTGGACAGGAAGGGCCCCATGTAGGACACAAAGGCCGAGGCGAGGAGACAGTCGCCCACCAGGTAGCCCAAATCTTCCTCCAGGCCCTGCGGGGAAACCGAGAACCGTTCAGCCACCCCCCGGGGGGGGGGGCGGTCTCCGACTTTGGCAAGGGTGTGACCTGCGGACTTCAATTCCCAGAATTCCTCAGCCAGAAAGGAGGGGTGGGGAGGAAAGGAGAGGAGGGGAGAAAGATGAAGGAAGGAGGGAGGGAGGGAGGGAGATGGAGGAAAGAAGGAAGAGATGGGAAGGGAAGAGAAAGAAAGAGATGGGGAGGAGAAAGAGGAGAGGAAAGCAAAGCAAAGGAACAAGAAAGGAAAGGAAAGGAAGAAGAAAAGAAAGGAAAGAAAGAAGAAAGGAAAGGAGAGAGGAAAGGAAAGGAGAAAGCAAAGCAAAGGAAAGGAAGAAGAAAGGAAAGGAAAGAAGAAGACAGGAAAGAGAGGAAAGAAAAAAGAAAGGAAAGGAGGAAGAAAGGAAATGAGAGGAAAGGAAAGGAAGAAGAAAGGAAAGGA